TATTCTGGCATCACTCAAATTTCTCTAAGGTACAGATGCTGTAGTTGATAACTCGTGATGATGAGTTAGACCTTGATTCTTCCAAACTGCTGTCTTTCATCTGGTTTTCTTTGCCGGTTCCCACTTGTCAACTGCCACAGCTCATTCGTTCATGTACATCTGCACAGCCTGCTGTCCCTAACAGCACATTCACTGAAGTCTTGCAGACAAATAATCTTTCATATTTGGGCATGTAGAACTAATCAAGCTGTCCAGCTACTGTAAGCAGGTTTCCCTTGTTAGTGCTTATCAGAGCTGATGCATGAATAGTTCTTTTATGAAAGTGCAATGCAAACATCAGCGGACTTATGTGCATCAGTCAGTTGCTCATGATGATTAATAGGCTATCCAATAACAGATTTCATTACCTATTGCCAAACCAATACCAGCATGACATTTCTTGATCAACCATCTATGTTAATAGAAGGCAGAGTTGGACATCTGTCATGTGTAGAGTAGCTGAGATTTGCTCAGCTCGCATACGTTAATTATACAGAGCAACGGTCCTTCCAAGCAGGATGGCTCTCCACTTCAGACATTTGGTGCTTGTCTTTACAGTCCTAGGAAACATCTTAAGCGATAGGTGGTGGTTTTGTTGTTTTTTTTTTTTTTAATATGGCACTTGCTTTCAACCATTTGATGAAAGATGTCTTGGATACAAAACTCTGGTGTAGATTATGAGAGCAGACAATTTTTAGAGCGCTCTCTTAGCTTACTTCACTTTCAAGGAGAAAGGTGGTTAATCCTCTAGCCCGTCACAAAGATCTGTGCAATTATCAAATTAATTATCTGGCAACTGGTTTGGGGCCACCCACATTCTTGCTTCAGTGTATTTTAATCATTAGCAGCAGTGCTATGAGCTGCAGTGAATCCTTGCATGTGAAAAGCCTTACGGTGAGAAAGGCTTACGCAAGAATTAACCTTAAACTTGTATGTGTTGTGTGAGTACATTTTATTCATTGACAGGAAATGACTAGCACAATTAGCACTGTACAGCATGTCCATCGACAGGAACTCCTCGGGGAGCATACCCAGTTTTAAAGGACTTTTGTTTGTGGTGTGACTGGCACCAGGTAGCAACCCACAAAGTCAGTCTTAGTATTCACTGGCCCTCCAGACTGCCTAGACTTTCCAGTGTCTTGTATGCTAGAGTTGTCTGCTCTGACAGTGCCACTTGTATTTTAGTTACTTTTGAGTGTTGGATGTAGGACTGTCTCAGTAGCTAACACCAAATTTGAAGAGTTGTAATGCAGCTTAGGATAGGATCTGGAGCTGGCACAAACACTATCTTACAGTTCACAGCCTGCAAGGGTGAAGCTATGACTGCCCCGGATTACCCTACTGCCTACCTCCTGCATTCCACTAAGTATTGCGAAAGCTGTCATTCACAGAATACATGCAGTACATATTACTGGTTTAACTTTCTAGGTGAAGAATTTTTCAAGTGAATAAATTATGAACTTTTTTACAGTTACGATGATTTATAAAATCATCAATATCAGGACTTGTTTAAATACAGTTTTGAACCATGTAATATTTTGCAATTTCGAGGAAGCCCCCAAATGTGGATGTAGTTTGCCTGGTACAGAACTCTGCCATGGATAGAAAAGTAACCATTCTACTAATTCTCTGCAAAAACATTTGAACACTGTTACAAAGATGATGTATATACTAGGTGAGAAGCAGTCTTCTAGTATTAGGAGGTGTGGCAGCAATATTTAATGCTTCTTTGATGTGAGCTGAGCAGAATACATCTCTGAAGTCAATCTTATTTCCACATCTCTCTTCTAAAAACTGCTCACAATTTCTTTGACTTCTTAACTAGCAATTATTTATTAGAATAGACTGATTTATTTTTCCATTAATCAAAACAAATAGCCTGATTTTGAATGCTAAGGAAGGTCTGACTTTAAATTCAATTGGTTTTACATCTATTTGTGAATTTAAAAAGAAGTAATTGATTAGTTGGAAGTCTCAACTTGTTCCTTAAAATGAATGAAGCACTGCCCTCAGCTCTTATGCTGATATTTCAGAGGTGGAAAAAGACATCTTGGAAAAGTAAACCAAGTTGAACAGTTTGAGAGCCTCTGTCAGAGTTAATCCAATGTCTGTTGTCTTCTGTATGCAGTGTGAAAGAAGGATATCAAAGCTGCTTTTGGCAAAGCATGTGGCTTTAGCTTAGGGAAGACCTTACTTCTGCCAGAGAATTGACATTGATCTTTGCTAGAAATCTTGGTTCAGTTGTTTGACTTCATGTCAGGAAGACATTCACCCTCATTCCAAAATATGTGCTAAACTTGCTAGCTTACTTAGTTTGGACACAGCCAGTTAATCATAGTACGAGTGCTTTTTGTGGACAGTCTTGAATGAATCACACTTTTGACAGGGTAACTTTAATGCTCAAATGCCAACAGTTTTGTGAATAATGCATGATCAGGAGTTAACATTTGGAAAGTGAAGTACTTGGTTTGATTATGTCCACAGTTGTTATGAAATGTCTGGCAAAACAGTATCAGTGGGAGTTTTGAGGAGGGCTGAAAGTGGCTCTCTCCAGAGCATGCTTGTGCATTGTGTTTTTTAATTTTTATTAAATTAAATGTGGAAATTTGCTAAAGGTGTTAAAATGCACTCTCATTGATATACAGCTATTTTCCTTTCTTATTCCATGTCTGACATTGCATTCATAATTTATTAGATGTTTGAAGCATGAAATAGTTTTGATCAGTTAAGTTTGCTGAGGTGGTTTGCTGAGTGGCTAGGGACTGGTGTGAGTTTTATCTTGAGGAAACAAAGCATGCTCTGTATTTTAAATGTGATTGCTTTGAAACCTGAAATTACTGATACTCAGTGTAGAACACAAACTGTACACTGATTTAGATGAAACAGCTAAAATTTCATTCAGTTCCTCAGACTAGTGGGGTCTAAAGGCACATAGATATTCACTTGCTAATTGTGTACTGCTGTTGATGTAACTGATCAGAGTTAGGTTAGCAGTATGCCCAGGGCAGGTTTGATGCCTATATAGTTACTGGGTTCTAAATAAGTTGAGTGTATTGTTAGGAGCTGCCACAGTTTGTACCCACGCTATAGATGTTGTAAAGCTGGTTTAGTAAGATGAAGCCAGCTTTGGCTGGCACATCTGTCAAATCTGAAGAAGTTCATTGTAGAATTCACAAACTGCAAGGGAATTCCGATGTCTTTTGACACCTCTGTGCTTCCTCATTCTGGTCTGCCTGTTGTGACAGTTTTGGGGTCCTCGTACCAAACAAAGTAACTAGTCTTGGCTGCTGGTTTGTCCTGCCATGTTGCACAAGTCCTTCAGGGGGAAAAAAAAAAAAGTAACATGTATTCTGGCACTTATTTTCAGAATCTTATGCTTCCTATATTTAAAAATAAGAGTACTGTCTGAAGATTTGTATTTTTCCTCTACCCATCTTTTATGAAGGTCTTTCAGTGGAGCAATGTTCTTCATCCTGAATGAGAGGAACAGACTTTGAACTTTTAATACACATCTACTCCAGAAAGTATCCATTTCTCCCAGGGATTTTGTTTTATAGAGCTACTAACAAGATAGATACTTATTTACCTTCCAGTTTTCATGCAGACCAATTGCTAAATATTTGTTGTGCATTGAATGTCCTCTAACTTGCTGCTTTTGAAAGCTTTCCCAAGAAACCTACCCTCTGTTTTAGCTTCCAGTGCTTAATAAAAAATAGTATTTAGTTGATTTATGATGCTAAACAGAGAACCACCTTCTCTCCCCCTCCGTGCTGCTGTAGATGCTGCTACCATCATTATGGTATTTGCATATTGATGGCATTTAGGTACTTGCTAAGCTCATATGTTATACGACTTGTTACAAATAAATAGAGGTGCCTCACTTAAAAAAGATTAATCCAGAAACTCACTAATAACTTCCAGTATTTCCTAGTTCTTTGTGGAGGTATCTTTTTAAGGCAATGTGTCATTTCCTTGAAACATGGAACTACACTCATCAACTGGCAAAAACAGTTGCAGCTAAAGTCATTGGACATTTTAAAACATTTCTGTTTTAACAGAAGCTTGGTTAGTCTTTTTTTTTTTAAGATGACCTGGTCAATGAAGAACACGTAAATTGATACATTAATGTTTTATCTTAATTTGGGAAAAAGTATTTAGGCTCTTGTTATGCTAGAGAAACCACTTGAAGTCCATGCTCATCTAATACTTTTCCCTAATTTATCGTTGTTAGCCTAGCTTGTTCTGTCTTCTCTTACTTAGCTGTCCATGTTATTTGTCTTTTATGATTTCCTGTTCTGTCCCTCCTTATGCACTGTATAAAAACAGTAGTAATTCTTGGCATATAATTGTGGAGTCTGCATGCAAATATTGGGGGAGATGAGCTTTCCATATGTCCTTTTCTCTGTGGAAGAGAGGGTGTTGGTGGCAACTGGTTGCATTCTGAATGTTTATTTAGTAAGAGGAGCATGGATTTAGCTGTTAGGACCATATGTCCTGATAGGCTGTCCGAAAAGTTATTCATTGTTTCCTATGTAGAAGAGGTGGCAGGCATGAATATAATTGAGGAGAATATGTTTAGAGTGTAGTGAGTAGATGACTTCACAGGTTACTAACTGAAAGAGCTCATACTAATAGTAAACTGTCACTGAAGTTCTGAGCTAATGATCTTGAATTGTCCAGCTTGAGATACCCTAAAGGCACATGATCTGTCCCCCACCCTGTTCTGTTTTTAAAATAAGGTCAGTGAAACATTGGAGGCTGTAGCTGACAACAAATAAATCAAGAAAAAAACTGTAATGGCAAATGACCACCTTTTTGCCACTGTCAAGAACTTCATTCAGGATTTTCTCCTGTAGAATACCAAATAAGGAACTTTTTTTTTGTAATTTCTGCTGTTTAGAGCAAATTTTGATAACACACGTTCTATTAAGGCACTTCCTTTTTTTTCCTTTTCAATTTAGAATGACTTTTCCCATAGTGACTGCATGTCAAGTAACGAGACCAGTTTGCTAGAACGAACCACAGCACCTCATGATGGACTACCAATGGCTTCCCATAGACCTCAGCGAGAAGGTATGTTGTCCGAGGTTTCTTCTGAGGACCACTTTAAGGTTTTTTTTAACACTAAACTCTACCTGGAGTTGTAGAAATCTTGCATCTGTCTTGCTGTTCATCTGAATGAGAAACTGCAATGATTGGTAAGTGTTAATAGCTTCTCTCCTGCCTACTTGGTCTTTTCTTTATTATGACAAGTTGTCATTCCTGTTAACTACTAACTGCTAGTGACTGCATGCGTAAAAATTGATTGCAAATGGGCTTCCTCCTGAAAAAAGAGGTGGTATTTGGGAGAAAACAAGAAAATCTAATGCAATTGTATGTGTTTAGATGTTATTTAAGCAAAACTAGCATGAAGGTACTGTGAAATAGTGGATAGCTTTTGCTACTTGATTCTGTTGTATTTGATTAGTCTTAACAAAGAAAGAAAGAAAAAAGCATATTAGGAGGTTTTATAGAAGTGGTAGTTTGGAGAAGTGAGAGGCTTTTCATAGAAGTCAGTTGTCTTTTGGCTTTGTTGGGGAGAATGAGAACAAGGCTTCAGAGCATAAACAGAATTCTTCTCTGCAATTGCCAGCACAGTTTCTTCTCTTTGAAGAAATGAGCATTATTGAAAACAGATTTACTATTACCCTTTATTCTTTAACAAGATTAGTGAATCACTTGTCTATTCAAAAGTAGTCTACCTTATCCTGCAGATAGTGAAGAGCTGGCAATCTGGGAAAACTATTGCTATTTCTTTTGTCCTCATCAATGTCCTTTTGTTTCTACTGTGGAGATTTAATTATGCTTTGAAGGCAGGCAATTTGAGAGTTTTAATTCCTTGCTAAAAAAACACAGAGAAAGATTATGGCAGATTACAGACAACAAACCTGTTTCAGATCCTTTTACTGCATTGAAAATGTTCATATTCACAAATTAGAAACACAAAAGGGAGACTCTCTTTAGCAATGCTCTTCAATTAAGTAACAGAAGCACAGAAAAGTTTAGTAACTGAATGTAGCGAAGAGCTTAAATATTTCTCAGCGTTCGTATTATCATAACTAGAAACGACAGTGAAGGATGAGAATCATTTGTCATATTTGCTGTATAGGTATGTGCTAGAATTGAGGGTCCCTGCTACAGAAATCTCCTTACTGGGTTAGAAATAGCACTGATAATAAAACATGGTTTTTATTCTCAGATGTGATGAATATGATTTATAGAAATCTTGACTTTTTTATACTTACAATGGGAACAGTGTAATATATACATGCTTGACTTAATCGTACTGAATGCATGTCTGTGTCCAGAATAGATGTAGAGATGTAACACGCCTCATCGACTTGTACATACAAACATTTCTTCTCAGTCTAGCCATTTAGAATATTTAAAATGTGATTGTGGAAACAGAATTTTAAAGCGGTCTGTTGAAACTGTGGAGCTAAAGCTGTGCTGCAGCAATCCTGTAATTAACTGTTGTATCACTTATTACAATGAAGCATGCAACAGCAACACGAAGAAGTTAAGGAAACTGAATATACTACATTGTGCAATAAAATTTCTTTATACTTGAGATCAAATATACTCATCATTGAGAACATTCAATAGTTTAAAATAAACACAATCTCATTAGAAAAGAAGCTTGTCTGTGAATGTTAACAGTGTTAGTTTCCATAATTATGTATGCTAAATATAAGCATGTAGTGAAATGCAATTTAAACGACTATTCTCAGTTCCAGTCATGGGAATCAACTTTTGAATTAACTTATGACTATCAACTCAGCTGACGGTATTGATCTTAACATTGACCATTAAGAAATTTTACTGCACCGAAATTCATATTGTGCCATAGTCTTTTTTTGTAACAGTGCTTTTATCTATACCAGATGGGTAAAAATTAAGGTCACTAAACATTCGGCTTTTCATGGTGTATTGATGTATGTTATTGTCTGGCGTTCTTAGCTCATCTTGGATTTCCTTGCTTTGTAATAATTAATCTTAATTAACTGATAAATGAACTGGTTATCTAGTGCTCTAACTGCCAGATAGAGGGTTACAACCAGTGAACACAGTATTTGTCAGTCTTTCTACTAAAAGAACTGGAAGCACTAACACTATCACTAGGCTTATATGCTGGTTTATCATTCCTTTAGGGAAATTGCCAATACTTAGTTCTCTTAGAAATGGCATGTTTGATGGGGATGATACTTTAATTGTAACTTTAACAAAATTCATTAAAGGTGTTTAATTTAGATGAAATGGTAATTAGCTAATCTCCAAGAATGAGCTTTGTAACATAGGCTTGTAGGACGTTGATTTTTTTTTTTTAGTGTTGTGAGTAGTTCCCAATATATTCCATGTAAACATGCAGTTAAAAATTGAAAGGAGAACGTTAGCTGATAACACCACCCACCTCCCCCCAAGAAAGAAGAAGTTTCAAAAACATTGAAAAGAGGCATTCATGGTGTAAGGCTGGTTGAGCTGTTTTTTAAACAAAATTTTGTACATGTAAAGATGTGTTCGTGCTTGTAAAGGAATAAAATTCTGTTGAATTCTTAGGCCACTGTAGCAGGAAAAATGAAAAGCCCATCTTGGCTACATAAGGATTTTTATATAGAATATTAGCTGGCCAATGTTATGTGCCCTTCAAGAAAATTTCCAGGCCTTGAAAGCCATATGGTGCTGCTGCTTACCAGGTCACAGCCAGAACTTGCCTATTCCTGAATACAGTAGACTATGGGGAAGAAATGTCAAAGTAGTGAGTACTTTGAAGTACCTATCTTCCTTTTCAGTTCAATTTAATGATACTCTTTGTAGTAGCCTTCTGCTTCTTCTCCTCTTCATTTTCTGTTTGCTAGCACGCATTTCTGTCTCCTTCAGGCCTTCCCCAAGTGTTTCCTTCTGCCTAAGTGCCTTTCAGAAATGTGGTTCTTCTGCCTTAGTTTGCTCTCATTACTATTTGGTGTTTCAGAAATGCGGATCTGGAACTCAGTGTTGCTGCCTTTTATCAGCAGTTGTTAATTCTTGGAGTAAAGATGCAATTTTACTTCCTTTTACTGTCTTTTCACTTATGGTGGTTATATTGCTGTATTTATGTGATGTTCAGTCTAAATAGCCTTGGGTAACACAGATTCCCATGATCTGCAATGAAGGGGTTGTGGTCAGGCCAGAGGAATACTTTATAGAGAACAAAGCTCCACCTGCCCCCTGCAGTTTGCTGCAATAAAAAATAGCCTCTGAGAAAGAGTGGGGTTGTGTGAGGCAGTAAATAGCATACAGTGATTCTCAGTGTGGCTTGGTAAATAGATACATTTTCAAACTGTAATTTTGGCATGTACAAAAAGATGTTTTTCTTTCAGCTGTACACATTGAGAAGATAACCCTGAAAGGAGTACCAAGAAAAAGGGCTGACAAACACTTGGAATACACATTCAAAGTAAGCAAATAACCTCCAGAATATTAAAGTAATTGTCTTCATGATATCTATGTATTGTAGACACCTATGGCTTGTTTCAACTACCTGCTCAGAAGGCAATTTTGAATTATATTAGAGTCTTAAGAGATTCTTGGAATTATCCCATAATTCTCTTGGATTCTGTGTGCAGATCAGGTGTTTTATGCAATTGTGGGCATAAGGTGGGAAGGTGTAAAACACCAGCCATAGCCAGGTGTGTGACATCAAGAAACTTGTCTTTTGCTAATTTGGGGTAAGCATTACAATGAATTCTAAAACTAGTTGATTGTTTGCTCAAGTGGCCTAGGAGTGCAGTTCTTGTATCTGCAGGTATATATTGCTTGGAGTCATATAGTAATTTTAGATCTCTTTTATGAACATTTACCGTAAGAGGATGGTTTTTGACAAAACTGGGGGTTGGTTGATTGTTCATTACGGTAAAAACAAACAAGCTAAAAGAAGTCAACAAACTTGAAAGCCTACCTAGTAGTCTTCATGTATTAACATAGCCAGAGGCAACATATAAAACAATTGAATGAATGAGTGAATTTTAAACAAAACTGAAACACTGCTTCTTACTGCCTTGGACAAGAAGCTTCCCATATTGAGGCCTGGTATTAACGGCTGTAGGTGTTAAGTAATAGCTGCTAAGGCTGTTGGTGGTGATGTTCTAATTGAATCAAAGTAGTAATTTTCTTGGCAAGGACTGACTAACATTGTGAGTCATTTGGCCAATAGATGTGAGTCTGGTAGTATACCAGATTTTAACATAGAATTAAATTTTACTTTTTCTCGCCAAACAAAAGAATGTTTTAGATCAAACATTATAACTGGCCATTTGGCATGGGTCATGAGAGCTCTTTGAAGAGGCACGCTCAAAAAAATGCCATTTTGAGCTGAAAAATGATGTGTTGATCCCAAAATTTGATACTGTATTCTCTAAGTAGTTGTGAATTACTGTTTTGTCTTTTCTGGTATTACTAGAAGCTTAAAATTAGAGTTAAATTGACAGGTATGCTATTTCTGTTCTGGAAGAAAAGTAGGGACAACAGATACCTTCTTGTTAATCATGTCTGAAGGTGAAATTTGCAAAAATTCCGCACCCTTCTTTTGTTGAGGTCAGTAAAGTGGAATTTAGCCTTCAAAGTCTTAAAGGTTAACTTGCCCAAGTATCTCAACTGTGTCATAGATCTTTTTTCCGACTAGTCTGTGAACTGAATACTAGGTAAAATGCAATAGTATGTAGGAGAGGTTTGTACAGAATGCCCATATGGATTATTAATATTTAAAGTCACAAAACTATTTTGAAAATTCAGCACGTAGATGGATTTGACAGTGGTTTTGAATTTCTTTGTTAAAGGGGGAATGTGGAGATATTCTGAGTAAGCTTGAAACTCCTCCATCTCAGTTCTTTTAGGAAAGAGTTTCCTCTCCTCATCTGTGCAGGTATATACTGTGCTCCTCACTGCAGATCATTTTGTGCTTGCCCAGACACTGCTTTTTTAAGGTTATAACAGCAATTACAGTCATGGCTTCCCAACTGAGGGCACCAAGAGTAGTTGGAATTTCTGGGGACTAAGGTGAAGGCAATTGGTGGTTGACATTATCCTATCAACTCTTGGGAGTAAATGAATGTTTATAGTTGCCTTGTCCACTCCCATTACACAGAATCTTCCCATGCATGTAATGGGAAGCTTAAGCCCAGAAGTGGGCTTAAAGCCAGGCAGCTCTCATCTAACCAAGCTTACTTCTTTTTTTCTCAAAATATGCATGTGAAGGTGCTGGTTTACTACTTGCATGTTGTGTCAGAACAATAAGTTACTGGAATTTTATACAAGCATATACCAAAATGCTGTCTGATTCTTGAGTAACTTTTTTAGTAGCTTGCAGTACTTTTTATGAATTGTACCCTGCAACAACTTCTATATGACCATGTAAGATTCAAGCCTGAGACAGATAAAATTGTTTTGTAGGTAATATAAACAAAGAGAGTTTGTTTTTCTTTTTTGTTTTGACTCATGATGCGGCCAGAGCCCAATTCAGTATATCTGACCTACAGTCCTTTTCTCTGGTACCTCGTTTTTGCAGTTAATGATGTCTCTTTAATACAAGTCCTGTAATTACAGAGCCTTCTGCCTGGCTTCTTTCTGAGTCTGTAAGTCAGTAATCTTCAGGGACTTCATTTCATTCACCTGAATTTGCTCAAAACTCCCTTTAGCCACAAATAACATGAAAGTGATCTTAAAATGTGCACTCAAAATTAGTATATGTCTTTGAAAAGGTACACCATTATCCCTGTTTTGCCTGGTATTTACTTATCCTCAGGTGTTAACTCTCATACTGAGATCACCAGATTTATGGAAGTGTTAAAATTAGCTAACTAGTAGGATATTTGGAAAAAGAAACTTTCCTCATTCTCTTTTCCTTCCTTACTAGGTAACCTGGTCTGATCTTTCGGTAACGTGTGTTACAAAAACACACCAGGAGCTTCAGGAATTCCTGCTAAAAGTATGTATTGAATTATAAAAGCAGTGTTTACACATCAGGTTTATAACTTCAGACATAGTTTAGGAGAGCTGTGACTTCTGTGATGTAATTATAGAAACAAAAGCATTCTTCTAGATTTTTGTACTTCACAATTGTATTAACCATTTAAATCATGTATTAACCATATAAATCATGGTGCAGCAGCTTGACATATGAAGCAGCTCAACAGAATGTTTGGGGAGCTTCCCAGGAGGACATCTCCTCCCAGTTTCTCATCTGAAATTGCTCTTATAGTTTTCATTGAACTACCGTAAAACTGCCAGATGAGTTTTTAATATTCCCCTCAGAGTTTATGTAGAGGTACAAGCACTGCTGATTAATGTCCCTGATAGAATGACCTTAAAGAGTATAATTTGTTGTTTTTAATTAATGAGGCAGAGCCATGAGCATAATAGTTCTTAATTTTACTGTTGTATTCCTCAGTAGAACAAAGGCAGGTATGTTCACTGTTGCAAGGAGTTAAATATGAGGAAAACCTAGCAACTATTTGTGTGTGTGTGTGTTTAAAAAAAAGTTCTCTAAGTTGTTCTTCCCGCTGCCCCAAGAAGAAAATGCATTTGTGTGTGTAGGCCACATGCAGACACCATGAGTATGATGACCTCAAACTGTGTGTTTCACTGCCAGTGTTTAATATTTTGTGTTCCAACTATTCTGGGAAACCCTATATTTAAAGTTGTTGTGGTTTAACCCCAACCAGCAACTAAGCACCACTAAGCAGCTGCTCGATCGTTGTCCCCCAGTGGGATGGGGGAGAGAATCAGAAGAGTGAAAGTGGGAAAACTCCTGGCTTGAGGTAAAGACAGTTTAATAGGTAAAGCAAAAGCCACATGCGATTGAAGCAAAACAAGGAATTCATTCACCACTTCCAATCAGCAGGCAGGTGTTCAGCCATCTCCAGGGAAGTATGGCTCCATCACACGTAATGGTTACTTGGGAAGACAGACGCCATAACTCCAAATGTCCCCTCCTTCCTTCCTTCTTCCCCCAGCTTTATATGCTAAGCATGATGTCATATGGTGTGGAATATCCCTTTGGCCAGCCTGGGTCAGCTGTCCCGGCTGTGTCCCCTCCCAGTTTCCTGTGCACCCCCAGCCCGCTCGCTGGCAGGCCAGCATGAGAAGCTGGACAGTCCTTGACTGCTTAGCAACAACTGAAAACATCAGTGCATTATCAACATTTTTTCATCCCAAATCCAAAACATAACCTCACACTAGCTTCTGTGAAGAAAATTAACTCTGTCCCAGGTGAAACCAGAACAAATGTCCTCACTGTTCAGGGCGCTAATGAAAGATCTGCTTTGGGTGTGTTTTTATAGCATCTGGTGTTCTTAACTGCAGTGTTAATTGCAAGTGGAAAGCCAGTTACTGTACAAAGGTCATTGTCTTGTTCACTGCTTCAGTTATCAACATTATGTTTTCCAGAGTTGTAGAAATGAAGCAGTGCATATTCACTGCTGCTTTAATGTAGTTGGAATATCTAGTTCCAAGAGTTCCCAGAGCTTGATTTATGAGGATTTGAATTATGGATGGCCTGTCTAGTTGCGGATGGGTTGTCCCACAACATAGGGTACATGCATCTGCTCCCAAAGAGAACAAAAAAAAAAAAAAAAAAGCAGGACTCATATGGTACTCTGTGCAGCTCTGGGATGAATGTTCAACTGTATGCCTCCTGTTCTCCTACCTGTAAAGTAAAGATGAAGACTCATTAAATAAAGCAGGGTAAAACTTACACCTTGCTTTAAAAAGCACTGTAGAAGTATGAATGCTGTCAAGTTCATATGCACTTGCATTTTGACTTTTTGTTATTCTTATTTCCAGTCTGCATGACATTAAGTAGTATGCTCAGTTTCCTGGGGAGAGAAAAGAATGGTCAAAATACTTGATAGGAAATTCTGAGGTTGTGGGTAGCAGGAGTAAGATAACTGTAAAAATTGTTTCGAAATAGAAGCATCAGTGGGAAAGACTAAGGTAGTGAATGGGTTAGCTTGGATGCTTTATATTTAAAGAGCACCTTCTCTTAGGTGAGAAGCATAAAAAGTTCTTTACATGTAGGAAATTACCCACATATGTGGAAGGACTAATAAGCTTGTAAGTAACAAGGCTATCCCACTACCTGAAGTTAAGTTAAACACCTAACCTTTGGTTCATATAACTAAATGTTTAACTACAGAAGAAATTTAATTCCTTCTAATGAAAGTTTTAAAGAAAAAAAAGTTGTGGCTGTTTCTGGAGACAAATTTAAATACAAAACACCAGGACAGGAGATTTGCTCATCTTCATGCTTCTGCAGTAGCTTTTTGGTACCTTTTGGTTAATACTGACTAATTCTTTGGAGTTCCTCGACAGCGTATATTAAAGAGAAAAGGGTCGGTTAAGAACAGCTGCTTTCAGCACTTCTTTCTGGTTTTATATCTAATACATTTCAGGTGCTATAGCACCGTACTAATCTAATACTAACAGCACCAGTCTGTCTGGATTCCAGAAGTTCCTTTTGTGTATGTTACCAAGCAATTATCTGCATTAGACATAGCGTCTCTCTATTAGTAGCACTTCATTCAGTGAAAGAATTACTTAGTGCTTTGCTGTTTTACCACTAGCAAGATGTAATATCCAGCTGGCACTCTGGATTGGGTGTATTCCGCATGTGCAAGAGGAAGATGTTGCTCTAGTGTAAATTACTTAGTGCTGTTGATGAAACTGACGGCAGATGTTAACCAGATTAGCAATAGCTTTTAACTTTAGGAAAAAGCATTTTTTCTATGGCAGTTTACTTTTAATTGCCTCAAAATTAAAAGACTTTTTAAAAAAAGATAAATTAATGAATTTGATCAGCTTTCAGGTACTTAAGTACATTATTTTGGAAGTAGTAAATGTGAAAAAAATCTTTGTTCTAGAGAATGTTTTTCATTTAAAATAGACATGCTTTTTAGATCCAAGAATTTTGACTTCTGAACTAGAGCATCAGAAGACCTCGCTTTGTAGTACTGGCATGGGAAACACAACGAATTTTCATCAGAAGTTTCAGTGTTAATAGGAACCGCAGAAGGACTTGCTATTGATTAATCTCAATATTGCCCACTGAAGTCTAGAGTATTATATAAGGGAAACAGTCTCCTTTCTACTCCTGCTTCTTTAAAATAATTTAATCTAGCTAAGTGATGATGGAGAATACAATGGATTCAGTCCTCCCTGGTAAATTTTTAAAATGTTATTTTCAGGCCTACTGTCTGTGTGTGAAAGATGTAAAGAAATAAATCAAAAAAGGCTGTAAATTGCTCTGGGAAAGAACATAGTATTGGTAAATTTCTGAATGTAGTTCTTTCAAATAGGGCTTTAAACTGTCTTACATTTTGATTTGAATTGAGACTTTACAGAATAATGTTTCTCTAGCAAAACTAAATGATGATGATTTGTTGTACCTTTAGTCTGTAAAATAACCTTACTCAAACTGGAACAAAAGAGTTTCTTGTTGATACCAAAAGATATAAAGACTGATGGCGAACAAATACAGTCTTTAAAATGTAAACTACTCATTTTTTAACATGAACCTTTTTCTCAGCTCCCAAAGGAACTGTCTTCTGAAGCATTTGACAAGACTATTTTAAGAGCACTAAATCAGGGTTTTCAGAAGAGGGAAGAACGAAGGCATGCTGATCTTGAGCCCATAATCAGGTAAATGTTTTAGCAAATAACTTAAAATGCATCACCTGAAAAGTGATTGCAGTCAAACTAGATGACTCTTGGGGACAGTGGAAATTTTGCTGCCTAAACACAGTTTGTGAAGAAAATGGGAAGGCAGTGATGAAATAGATACCCTTACCTGTTGTTTTTTTTCCTCCTTTAAATTGAGACTCTTACTAAACTTTAATGGATTACTTCTTTAAAAGTAATCATACAATTATGAAAATACTTGTCCTGAGCAGCATTATATAGCAATGATTGGTACTTCAGTGAGGGTCTTACCTCCGTTATACAAGTGTATATTTACAGAATCACAGAATCACTAGGTTG